CCGGGTGATTTCCCACAGGAGACCGGGCTTTGCTTTTCGGTGCGGAGCTCCCAGCAGCAGGGCTCATCCTGATCGTTATTTTTACATCCTTTGCATCTCATCCAACGCGAGAGGTTTGGGGTCACGGAGAAGGGGAGCCCGGTGGTGGTGAGATCTTTCTGCCATCGGACGAGCCCGTGGGCAGCTCTCCTCTGCTGCGGATCACAGCTCCAGCGAAAGGCTGGAAAACCACAAACGGGATTTAAAAGGAGCAGGGAGGGGGAGAGGGAACAGCAGGTTTGTTTTCCAGGGCAGCTGAGCCATGCTGATGGCTTGCTGCCACCGAAAAGAAAAAAAAAAAAGACCTTTTTCCCCTTCCCTTATGCTCACGCTTGCTCTCATCTGACTGTGAGCTGCTTCAAAGAGCTAACCGGTGCAAACGCTAACCTTGCTCCTAGTTTTGCCCTCTTCCCTGCCAAAAAAAAAAAGAAGAAAACTGAACAATTTTTTATTTTTCACTGCGGTTGGGGCCAGCACAAGGCAGTCGGGTGGTCTCAGTTGAGCCACTACATTTTAGCATCCTACTGATAGCAGCAGTGGTTTCTGGGGTCCCGGAAAGCCGGGCAGAATTCGAGTTGTGTCTCCTCCTCACACACAGAAAAAGATTGCCTCATTTTCCAGGAATTAGGAATATGTCAGAGGTGGGGGTTAATCCTGCCTTTGATTGTGGACGGCTGTATCCGGGTAGGATCTGAGCACTTTCTGCAGCACTAAATACTAATTCTTTGCTTTCTGGAAGCACGGGGAGATGCAGCCAAACCCCGCTATAGCAGCAGCACACACACAAGGGCCATTTTTAAGCCGCTTATTACTTTATAAAGAGGTTATTGCCTTTTTCCCCCCCCTCCAGCATCAATCATCTTGACAAGATCCGCTTATTTTAACACATACGTCCTGCAGCCTAAAACCCAGCCTTTCCTATAGGAAGATCCCCAGCCGGGTACGGGAGAGCACGGTGCATATACGCTATATATATAGATATAAAAACAGATATAAAAATAGATACATATATATATAATATTGCTGGAAACACCGGTGGCAATTACTCAGGTTTCTAACCCTGATTTTTGAAAGGGAAGGTTGAAAACGAAGACGCAATGCTGAGCATCCCAACCCACCGGGGCCGCGGTGCCGAAGCCGGCTCCTTTCTCCTCGGCAGAGCCGGCGCCGTGACGTCAGGGTGTTTTTCTGCAGAGCTCGCAGGATGTTGCAGCCGGCCAAGAGCTGTGTTTATGTTGATAACATTACAAGTATTTCCTCTCCGTTTCCGAAACCAGCAGGGAGGGAACCGAGGGGGAAGGGAGACTCGGGTTTCTCCGGCTTTGGGGTAGGACTCTCGAGGCCTTTTATGTTAAGAAGCGGGTAACGGCGTACCGCTGGCATTTATTTATACTGCATTTGGGAATAGGGAGTATTTAATAGCAGGAGCTGGGAGCTGGGCTGGCACAGCCCTCCCCTTGCGCAGGGCTCTTTCGTTTGCTCTCTGCTCTGGATCCGGTTTTAAGGTGATAAAGCGGCGCTGGCAGCTGATTGCCGGTCACGGGAGCAGCTCCCGGGATTTTTGTGTAATGATCTACCCAGCAAGCCATGATGCTCTCGGGGCTGCCCGGCGTCCTGTTTCTTTTGACGTTCACAGTAATAAAGCCATAAAAATTCAGGACCCGTCCGGACCGCCTGCATCCAGCTCTCTTCACGAAAACGGGGCAAGCCTTGGGGAAATTGGGTAGTCTCTCCCCTTGCCAACCCTCTCCTCCTAATGCGACCCACTCAAGGATCAATGAACCTTTTAAACGTAATAGCAAGGGGGTTTGAAAGGCGGGCGTCCCCGTTAGCGACTGGTTTGTCTGCTCTTGGGGCAAACTGCTGCTGCGGAACTAGTGCTGGCATAGCTGTGGGGATCCCAAATGAACGGGATCCCAAATGAATGGGATGCCAAATGAATGGGATGCCAAACGAACAAGGTCCCAAATGAACAGGAATCCCAAATGAACGGGACCCCAAATGAACGGGAATCCCAAATGAACGGGATCCCAAATGAACGGGATCCCAAACGAACAAGGTCCCAAATGAACAGGAACTCTTGTTTTGAGAAATGGGGTGAGGGCAAGAGGAAAGGAGCCACATCCACCTACGAGAATAGCGTTTCTATACAAATATTAATCAAAACACAGCGAACAGCCACTTTTTTTCCTAGCAGTGTTTGCAGAAGAGCCAGGTCTTTCCCTTTTCCTTGTTACTGTTTTCTTGTTGCGGTAGCGATGGGTTCCTGGCGAGGGAAGCGGTTGCAATGGCGAGACCTTGGCGCCTTCATCAGCCCCTGCGAGGTTTCAGGAGCATCTCAGTGCCGCCGTTACGTCCGTTTGGAGATTCAGCATGGACTTAGGGTCCTTCTGCCTTTGCACGTGGGTCCGATCGCGAGGAGCGTCCTATTTCTGTGGGTTTCCACAGTGGGATGCTCGAAGGATCTGTTTCCTGCAGCGAGTTGCTTTCATTCTTGCTGGCGGCGCAGCTTCATGTGCTTCCCGGTTGCAATTAAGCACGGGGAGGACACGAGCTCCCTTTCCTACACTGGGGGGGTGGAAAACCTCTTTGGCTTAGGACCATCTCAGCTCCAGAGTGCAATTGCTTGTTGAGTGGCCTTGGAGCAAAAGCCAACATCCTGGTGCACTTGCCGCTGTGCTTTTCCCCAAGCTCCAGCTGTGCTGGCTTGCCGTCAACCCTAAAAACATAGAATCGCAGAATCATAGAATCATCGTCTGCTCTGTTCCTCCAGACTCCCCTCCACAGCCCCTGACCCGGTGCAGACCTCCTGCGAGATGTGTGGTGGGTGCCAAGGAGAGACCCCCTTCATCACCAGGCTCGCGTGGGTCACTGGGACAGGGTTGGGGCATCCCGGTGGTCCCAGACCCCCTCACCCTGCCACAGCGATTTAGAATCACAGAATAGTTTGGGTTGGAAGGGACCTCTCAAGGCCATCTAGTCCAACCCCCCTGCCGTGGGCAGGGACAGCTTCAACTAGATCAGGTTGCTCAGAGCCCCGTCCAACCTGACCTGGAAAGTTTCCAGGGATGGGGCATCCACCACCTCTCTGGGCAACCTGGGCCAGTGCTTCACCACCCTTAGCATCAAAAATTTGTTCCTTATAAACGTCGGGTTTTCTCTCCAAAGCCAAAACAGTTTAGACCAAGCGCATCTCAGACTCTGGCAGGCGGTTGAACGAGTTGCATGGGGTGCGTTAAGCACCAAGAGTGGAGCATGTCATCAAAACCCTACCGGTTGCGGGTTTTCTGGACATCCCACCCTGGAGCAGAGCCTCACGGGAGGCATTGCAGGACCAGCCCTGCTCTCACCAAGTGTCAGGAGGACTGAATCTGTTCAAATTCATCCAGACATATTTTAACCAGTGATGAAACCCTCTGGGAAGTTGGCTGCTCGCACCAGTGGGACCCCTTGGAGAAAGCCCTGCCCCAGGACTGGCCGTGGAGAGAGCTGAAGGAAAGCTCTTATCTCTGGAGCTTGGTTTCCTTCTGGTTCAGGGTTTGTCTGACCTTTTGGTCACCGAGTAAGTTCGATTTTTGCCAGGTTTTCTTTTTTTTTGATGGACATGTAAGTGGGTGGTGCTGGTGGGAGGATACTCCTGGGTGGGGTGGGGAGGATCTTGTATTTCTGATATCGTTTCCAGCACGTTGATGACTTCAGTGTTGTCCTTTTGCCCGGAGTTTGGGATGGGTCTAGATTAAATAAATACAATGAGAACAAACAACACAAGATGTATTTAAGAAGGGGAGGCTTAGACCGTATATCGGGAATAAAACTCGTTCTTGGCAGCGTGACGAGTTGACTTGGCGGCGAGATCTTGCAGCCTTCTCCCAGGAGATGCTGAAGATGCAACGGGACACGTGACAAAAGCCTGAAGGAGAGGAGAGAGTCGTACAGCAGCTGCCGGTCGATAGCCGCCTCTGAGCCCTCTCTGGGCTCTAGCAGATGCGAGATGCTGACCCGTCCTTGGGAGGCCCCGGGTTCTGGGGCTTGGCAGCTTTGGGCTCTCTTCTGGCCAGGACGATGACATCTCGCATCGCGCTGTCGTTTGCCTCAGCCTCTGGACCCATATCTGTTTGGGAGGAGATAACGATACCCATTTCTCAGGAGCTTTTTGAAGTCCACAGAGGAAAGAAACCACCATAAAAACCTTGTATTTAAAAGGGCTGGGGGAGAAAGCCTGGGGGAAACAACTCTACTGATGTCATCGTCCTGTAATTTTGCAGGACGTTTCCTGGGAAGAAATGTACAGTACAACGAATGTGCAGCCTGCGCTTGCAGATGATGTTGGATTATTATTTACGGGTATTTGTTTCGTCCGCACGTGCAGGGAATCTGATGGGGTTTGAATGGAGCCAAGCCTGGCCTTGTGCGGGTGTTCCGCCTGCACCCAGTAACAGGCAGGGGCTTCAGTGAGCCGGCAGGGCTCCGCTGGGCACTGCCCGCAGGGGGAGCCGACCTCTCCTTCCTCCCTGCCTCCGGTTCCTGGGCATTTTGGATCAAGGTTCCTCGCCGTGGTCTTCACGTGTATTGCATTTCAGTTTGCTCAGAGTACACTCATTTGCAGACCGTTATATGAACACATTATTAATTTCCTTTAAGACCGGGTGCTTGTCTTTGGTGCTCAGCTTCATAGCTCGTTCCTCTCGTGCTCTCCCACAGTTCGCTCGTTCCCTGCTTCATCTCTGATCACCTTTGCTGGTCCGCCAGACTGGGAGCTCTCCATGCGCCCGCCAGTTGGGAACGTATGCACATATTGATAAATCCTTCCCATCCACATGCCTGCAGGGACCCCAGCCACACGTTCACTCCTCCCTTCCAGCTCTACACACGCAAGATGCGTAGCAGCGTCCCCAGTTCGAATTATTTTGGGATGATGTTGCACGAGGGTTTAAATAACTGTTCTTTGCTCTCTTCCCCAGGTCAACATGGATTTGTGGTTCTTTCTCCTTTTGCTCGGAAGTGGCCTGATAAGTGTAGGTGCTAACAACATTACGACAGGTAAACTACACTCGTCGTCTCCTCTCTTTTGTCCCTAAACCATCAAAGGAGTAAGTGCTCGCATGCTCGGTGACTTACCCCTTCTGCCCTCCACTTAACTGCAATATTAAGTGTCAAAAAGAGGGTGATGGCCTGCAGGTGCTCATAAATGGGACCTGCAGGTTTTACCTCTAGCAAATACTGATCCTCGCCTACAGAGGCTCTAACCTTTGTACCTCCTCGATACCGTAATACGTATTCAAGTTACCTGCTTTTATAGGGTGTGCATCACCGTGCTGTGCAAAGCATTCCCTGTCCTGGACTTGGGATTTTTTGGCTGTTTTATCCCTGTAGTTACAGTCGCACGAATCTCCGGCATCTAAACCCTCCAGTGTTACTGAAAGGTATCTCATGGAGGTTCCCTTGCGCTTTCTCCTCTCGCAGAGCCACCCACAACAGTGCCCACCTCCCCCAGGAGTCCCACCAAAGCTCCTACAGCAGGTCCTCAGGATGGGACTACGACGAGCGCAAACGGCCTCAACATTAGCACTCCAGTGACTGTTTCTACCGTGGCGTCAAAGCCACCCACAACCACAGCCACCAGGATCTCCCCCAGCACCACCGCTGTCAGCCTCAACACCTCCATCCTGGGGACAACCCTGCCCGTGCCTCCAGCCACCTCCCTGCTACCCAGCGTGACGCCATCTGCTCCGCGCACCGCTCTCCCCAGCACAGAAGCGGAGACGACGGAGAGGAATTTCAGTGCGACGGTGACAACGCAAGAGACCTCTTCCGCTGCCCACAACGGTAGGCATCTCCTTCACCTTTTCTTCTCCAGGCCACCCTGCCTCCGGGTTTGTGTCTTTGCTCTTCTTTTGTTTTGCTGAACAAAAGAGAATGAGAAGACACTTTGGGGCAAATTCCATGGTGATACGAAACAATATAACTCCCCGAACTGACCAGATCAGAAGAGATTTGTCCTGCCGAAGGCTTGGGCTTCTTGCCAAGATGCTGGGGCACCAGAAACCCTAGGATCTCCTTCCACTTTTGTCACAGATTGATTTAATCGCTTTTTGTGGTTTCCGGCGTGTGAAACAGGGCGAGTGCTGCACAGCTCCCAGGTGCTGGCTGAAGAGTTGATCCGTAACGGGTCTGTGTAGGCAACAGCAATAAATCACTCCGGGTTGCTGCTCAGCTGCAGAGCTTCGGTTATCCAGAGTGTTGCTGCATTTATTTGTATTTTGGTAGCCACTGTGGGCTCAAGCCATGCTTTTTGGCACTGTGCAAGCACACACGCAACAAGGCAGTCCCCGTCCCACAGGATGTAAGGCTTAGACTAGAGGTGGCCAACCAGGGGCGAGACCCAGCTCCTGGGGAAAGCTGGTAAGTTGGCTCATTATCCAAAATTAGCCAAGCTGGGGATGAAGGATGGTGCCGTAGGACGGTGCTGGCCCATCTGGTAGGGTAACCTGTTTGCTCCACCTGATGGCTGCTAAACCGCTTGCAGACACAAGCCACACATGATTTGATGAACCATCTGAAGGTGCTCGGTCTCCACCGTGGTGAGCGCCAGGAGCAATGCGGTGAGACCTTATTGAGCAGAGTATTCCATGCACTGGATGTCTCAGTCTTGCATTTGCTGGCACATCCGATGATGGGATGGGTGCCCCATCCCTGGAAGTGTTCAAGGTCAAGTCAGACGGGGCTTTGAGCAACCTGATCTAGTTGAAGATGTCCCTGCCCATGGCAGGGGGGTTGGACTAGATGATCTTTGAAGTCCCTTCCAACCCAAACTATTCTGTGATTCTATGCTTACGTTGTCAGTTTTTTCCCCATTACTTGGGCTACTTCAATCTTTGAAAGGTCTGGATGAGCAAGATTTGTCTCTATTGCCATGCTGCTGTCATTCCCCCTTGGCACATCATAAAAGTGGCCCCTAGGAACGTAGAGTTTGGCTGCTCAGTGTAGGTTAAGTGCACAAATCAGGCAAAAAGAGGCTGAGGTGACCAGAAATCTTAGCTGATCTGTGATTCTTCAGCCATGGTTTGCCCATTGCTGCATCGTTTGAGACCCAGCTTTGATACTACGTGCCTCTGAGTTGCAACAGTTACGTAGCAGTGCCTGCTAAAGGTTATAGTGAAAGCCTTGGCAGTGCAGGATTTAGTGGAAAAACAGGATGGGTAACTTGGTGGTGGGGTAGAAAAGACCAGAAGAAGATAATACTGGAGTTAATGCGGGGACATGTCAAGCATACATTCCTTAAGAATAAATTCCTCAAGGGATATTGGGTGTTGGGTGTCTAAACCCCTCTTCGCGTCAGTGAGATGTGTGTGCCCTCTTCCTCTGGGCATCTTTGGAAACCGCAGCCCACGAAGCTGCAGTGAAGTTGTCTTTGCTACCGACATAGGAAGGGATGTGGCTGAAGGAAGTTTGCAACCCAACTTTTGTAGTGTCCTGCCATCCCTGAACTCATCCAGCTTCCTTTCAAACACAAATCCTCAAGGCTTTTTTGCAGAGTGAAGAAGTCCAGAGTAACCCTAGATACACGCACGGTGCAAGTTTAGAATAAACGTAGCCTTCGAGTGGGAGTGATGGAGGCAAAAGCCTTCTGTACTGCTAAGATCTGGATTTTGTAATAAGATGTCTGCTAGCGGGGGACTGAATTTATCGCTTCTGTGTCTTTGCCACTTTTTTTAGGACTTTGGTTGCTGTTTTTGGTGAACTCCCTCGGTGTACGCTATGACACGTTGGCCGTTGCAGCATCAAGGCCACATGTGGCTTCTCACTTGATGTCAGTCCCGAGAACAAATGACCAAACTTGATTCTTTTTTTATTTCAAGTAATTTGTCAAGGAGCAAAATTAGTTTTAGGGCTGCCTTTGCCATTAATCTTAATGGGGAATTTGGATATCAGTCATGGAAGAATTAAGTGGCGCTCAAGAGAGGGACGGGGGCAGAAGGCACCGCATGAGTTACATGTTGTACAGACAGTTCCTGCTTCTCCAAACCTACCAGGATTGTCCTCAACCCCGTGCTGCAGCTCTTCACACGTAAAACGGGCGTGGGGTGCCTGTGCCAGCAGCGTTGCAGCAGGAGAGCTGGGCTGTGCTCTCATCAGCCCAGGTTTGTTCTGGTTTCCTCTAGATGAGACACCCAAAACAGCGGGCAGAGGTTTCCTTGGACGCCCGTCATCCCCATCCCTGAGCCCAGCTGCTCTTAATTGAACTCTTGGCTCAGCCACTCTTTTAAAATTATGCACGAGTGTTATCTCTTAATATTTAAGTGCTAATGAATTACACCAGTGACTTGCTGGTTATAGGGTTGAACGGTCTGTGTTGTCGATGAAGAGCCGTAAGTCGTGTTTATCGACGTTACAGCTCGGCTTCAGCTCCCTGCTCTGCTGATAAAAAGTTGGGTTTTGTTCCTTTTTCCTTGTTACTAAGTGAAGGCTGAAACTCGTTTCAACATCCTGGCTTTGTAGCTGGTGTTTTAAAGGAAAGATTTACAAGAAGATGATGAGAGTTACTAAATTTGTTACTGTCTTGGTCTTTGATCCTTCCTGACTTATTAAAATGTGTATTTCTTTGTTGCTAAGAGACTTTTGTTTTCTTTTTCTGCAGGTAACTCTGACAGAAGAGGTAAGAATTTTATATTTCATTGCTCTGTAGCCAAGCCCTCAGTAAAAGCATTTCCAGAAGTATTCTGCTATTAGATAGCTCTCCTTATGACACGCTTCCAAAATTGCTTTTACAAAGCCTATCAATTGCAAAAAATTGCTTTTACAAAGCCTACCAAGCTCTTCAGGAGAGCTGGTGACACACTGATATCTTAATTTGTGTTGGGCTCTTCTTTTCAGAAATAAACAATTCTGTACCAATTTGTACATGTCCTGTTAGAGACGAGTTCC